TTTATTTATTTATCAGCACAAATGCAACACAAATGTAACAAAGGCGATAGTAAAAATATTGGCTTTCTGTCTGGATGGTCTCTTGTGATGAGCCGATAGACAGAGAAAGGACGCAGTAGGCTTCCTTCCATATTCCTTCCATATGCCTCATCTAGGCAATTAGTGGTTAGAGTGCACTACTGCAGGCTGCTGCTGCTGCTGCTCATCCACTGCCAGCAGTTTGGCGGTTCAAATCTCACCGGCTCAAGGTTGCCTCAGCCTTCCATCCTTCCGAGGTCAGTAAAATGAGGACCCAGATTGGGGGACAATATGCTGACTTTGTAAAGCGCTTAGAGAGGGCTGGAAAGCACTGGGAAGCGGTATATAAGTCTAAGTGCTATTGCTAATATAATGAATGACATCTTTATGGGAGAGAAGGTACAGTCATAGCCTTATTATTTTGTCTTCCGGTCCAAGAGTGTTTTGTGAGATTTCCCCCAAATCCCAAATGGTCCATGCACTCTTTTGCTCATCCACATTTTCCTTCCCCAACCCTATTTTCCAGCTGAGCTAAACGAAACAATAGAGATTTTAAAAAACAAACAGAGCGAGATGCCTCAAACCAGGACTCTCCAGCTGCGTCTTTTGAAAAATGCTAAAATAACCTTTCCCCCCCTCCCTTTTTCCCCCACACAAGATCCCAACTTTTCATTTTAAAACATTATTTTCAGTCCGAGAATCACGAACTGGAGTAAAAGGAGACCCACGGAGGTGATGATATCACCAGAAATTTGTGAGGCTGAAACATGTTGTTGACCTTTATTTTTAGAAGTTTGTGGGAAGGTTGTGGAAAACAGGTGTAGGAAGTTTTGCATATTGACTCATTCGCTCGCGGAACAATTCTTCAGAGCAGTTGTGCCCAACTTGATACTCTGGATTAGGACCTATTTTGTACACGTGTTGGCATTTGGGTGGGCAAGAGTGAAGACAGCGGAAGTCAATGATCTGGGATTTTATAGAAGAGGCCATCAAGAAGTTCACCTCAAGAGTTGCACTTGGCAGTCATTAATGCCTCACAAAAGATTCTAGAAGTTTGGAATAGCAGAGTTGGAAGGGACCTTGGAGGTCTTCTAGTCCAACCCCCTGCTTAGGCAGGTAACCCTTCACCACTTCAGACAAATGGTTATCCAACATCTTCTTAAAAATGTTCACTGTTGAAGTATTCACAACCTCTGAGGGGAAGCTGTTCCATTGATTATTTGTTCTGTCAGGAAATTTCTCCTTAGTTCTAAGTTGCTTCTCTCCTTGATTAGTTTCCACCCATTGCTTCTTGTCCTGCCCTCAGGTGCATTGGAGAATAGCTTGACTGTCTCTTCTTTGTGGCAGTCCCTGAGATATCAGAACACCGCTATCATGTCTCCCCTAGTCGTTCTTTCCATTAAACTAG